AGAAATCGAAAAGCCTTCTGCCTCGGCATCACATTGGTTCTTGAAAATGACGGGTTTATCATCATATCATGTTGAAACTGGTTCTTGTATGACCACCAAAGTTAAGCAATGTCAAGCCTGGTCAGTACCTAGCTGGGTGACTGCTTTGGAATACCAGGTGCTGTAAGATTGAATGTGCAAATGGTGTAATGGATAATGGTTTCAAATTGGAAATCGGAGAGCTATGTTCCAATTCCACTTGGGTTTGTTATGTTCACTTACATGAAAATACCCTTGGGAAATATATGTGTCCATTGCTTCTTTCCCCAGCTATGTGTTACATAGTATGACAGACTGAGCTCTATAGCCTTGGTTGGCAACCAGTCTAATGCAGAAAGTAATGGTAGCCTACTGCAGGAATTCTTCTGTCAAGTTAATCATGAATTGAAAAGTGACATGATCACCCAAGCATGCATGGCACCTAAAGGATATATAAAGAAATATACTCTTAAGGTGTGCTATATTTATGGGATAAAGTGCTTAATATCAGAGATAGAGTGTGTGTAAATATAAAAGTGAACATTGAAGTCAACACTTAGAGGCAACAGTCTGTTTCATGCTAGACGCAATTGTCAGGCCATGAGTGCTGTTATTTTTCTCGGCTATTTATATATACGGGTCAGTGGTGCATTGTGAGTAGTCTATTTTGGCAGTTATTTTACCGGAAGTCATTTATTTATTTATTTGGGTTAAATTATTTTGCTTGTCATTATTTATTTTTATTTCTTATCTTATGTATTTATTTATTTTTTTATTATTATATATATAATATATATTGAATAAACATATTTGAGTAGATGTTCCATTTATTTTAAACAGTATTTTATTTTGTCTGTGTTGCACATTCAAGTAAACTTATTACAGAAAATGCAGGATTCAAACCTGCTTTCCCACTTGCAGAAGAAACTGCCATTTAATCCGACATGCTGTAACCACTCAGCTATGAAGAGCTTCAATAAAGCCAGGTTCTATTTGCCTTTAAAGCACACTTTACTCATTCAGATTTTCTTGAAAGTCATTACTGCTTCGGTTCATATTCAAAATGTAAACAAAGCAATTTGTAAAGAATTGATTTTTTTTTAAAAAAAAAACAAAAATTCTCTCTCTCTCTCTCTCTCTCTCTCTCTCTCTCTATATATATATATATATATATATTAGGTGAAAATCTGCCCTATTGGGTGGCATTTAAGCTAGCTCCTGCAGGAGGTTCTTGATTGGGCCTTCATCACATTAGGTAGGGATGAGTAGATGCGATAGGTAACAGTAAACTACATGAGAACTCAAAATTGATTGCTGCATTTAAGTATTGCATTAATATTTAAGCTTACCTTTTAAAATTTAAATAATTCTTCTGACGCCACTTAATGTAAACACAGTTTGATGTACGTAAGTCCTTACTTTCCATGTAAACAATTATTTTTATTTCATAGGTGAATTTTACTGGATTTCACAATTAATTTTAGTTATTCTCAAATTTATTTCCAAGTTATAAAAATTGTTATCATACAAAAAAAATTGTCGCAAAAACTCGCATAAAAATCGACAAAAACAATCACAGTAATGAAAACTTGGGAATCCAAAGTTTTGGGATTGTGGGTCTGGATTCGGCCCAGAAAGTTTTTAATTTGCTCATGCAATCAAACTGATTTCAAAATGGTATGATATGATGGGCTGTGGCTTCTAGGTGTAAAGTTAAATTGATGAACAATTTTATTTTGAAACACTGTAATTTGAGAACAGTCATTTATTTGAACATGAGCTATTGAAAGTTATAGAGTTGTGTTCCTTTAATTGCTTTTATCAGTAGAAGTCAAAATGGTGAAATCTGAAAACAATTGCAGTAATGAAAACTTGTGAATCCAAAATTTCAGGATTGCAGGTCTGGATCCAGCCCACAATTTTTTTTTTTTTTTGCTCACAGAGTCGGCCTGATTCCAAAAATGGTATAATATATTGGCCTCTAGGAGTAAAGTTGAATACTGTGACATACTAACATTTGCATTTATTATATATATATAAGCAAACCATATAATAATTATTAATGTGTATTTATATATTTCCTGTCCCATCTGTAGTAGGAAGGGAGGTAAATCAACTTAAGTTAGTAAACTTATGAGTGATTATTTTCTTTAGTTTTAATAATCTATACAAATAAAATATTTCCCAAGCAAAACGAACAGTTAAATTAATCAGTTGCTTTACTCCTACATTTCTTTAATTGCAATCTTATTTGTTCAAGCCTTTTATGTGAGGCTTTCAGATACCTTTGTCTATTAAGTGATTATCTTGCATCAACTTAGTCTTGATGTAGGCTTTGTCATTGCAGATGCTAATCGTTTTCTTCTGGGAGATATTTCTATTTCACTGCTATATTAAATGATAAGATATTTAACAAAAAGCAATTTATATAATACCAGGAGTAATCAATGAATCGTAGATACCATTGAGGGGTTAAAATATATAAAGGGAACGGATTATTTAAATGACTCATTAGCTTCTATTTTAGTTGTGAATTCTTTATCTCTGCTTTATTGAATCTCAATACATTGTTCAAAGACTTTTGTTTCATTGCATCTCACTAGTAAAACTTTCTAACAATTGCTGTCATTATTGACAGCATGGGTACACTCGCATATGTGTGTGTGTGTGTGTAGGGTGGGTTTTTGAGTACCTGAGGCAATTTAAACTATTTCACCACCTTTAGCATTGCAGTGCAGACCAGACAGCAGCTTCATTCTCAAGGTGCAGCTTCTTCCAGTCAAACAGTTATGGCTTAAAAAATAACTCTTTGGTCAGATAACTACCCACAAAATAAAACCATAAAATGACTGTAGCAGTAGGCAAATTCTATTTGGTTCTAACCTTCTGCTGTAGACGAACAAGGCAGAGGTGAGGGTAGTTGAGGAGGGAAACAATCGTGGAGTATGTGAATGGGCTCTTGTCCCTCTCTGTCCTTTTGTTTTAGGGGCCACTGTCTTATAGCGTACATCATTCTTTCTCTTGTCAGCTCTGTCTAAAAATTAATTCATCAAATACTCAGGAACTGGCTTCACTCAGTGACCCTATTTGTCAGGTTTGTTTGACTTGGATCTTGGAAGGTAACGCCATAAAGCTGACCTTCTCTACCAAGACAGATAACTGTCAAAATGATTTCTGTGACACATTGCAGGTGGGTCCTTAATAAGATATTAGTTGATATCACTACACTCCTCCTTGGCCATGAGTTATAAATTTTAGTTCCATATGTATTTTCTGAACATAATTCTTTTTTTTTTTCACGCTCTTAATAATTTCCCACCCACACTATGCTTATATATATATATATATATATATATACACACACACACACTGGGTGTAACAGTAAAATTGTTCAAATTGTGTAACAACAAAATTATCCAATTGTTAGATTGTTCTGAATGGTTGTATCTTAGAAATGATTAAAGATATCTTACTGGAATTCTCTGAGTTTTTTTATAACACTGTTGGACTCAACTTTGAATTTATAATTACTCTCCAAGCTTAACAGAAGAAATCAGTCATAAATGAAAATGACATGTTCATCATTAATTAATCAAGGATCAGAAGCTCATGTAGGATTACAAATAAAGTTCAAATATATATATATATATATATATATATGTTATGCCAGGATCATTTTTCAAATTATTCAAGATGATCTTTGCCCTCTCTAAGCTTCTAATTTTCTGTCTTGGAGTAAGAAGTTGTCACATGTTTCACATATGATTTTATTTTCAAGTCTTTTTTCACTGCTCTTTGGATCGTCATAGGTGAAATTCCTCTTTAACGTGCCGAACATCTTATGGATTGAGTCGGATCTTTACTAATTGATCTCTTTAGCTCAAAGTTGAAACGATGATCCCTCTTCCTGTTGTGACCTCCAAATCTAGTTTTCTTCTCTTAAGTTCCCTCTTTTTTAAACTTATTCACTGTTCTCGTCATGGTTCTTGAATGAACTTTGAAGATGGGAGACAGAGTATGAATGTTGGTACCATTACTGAAGGCCTGAATGATTTTTTTCCTTTCATCATTGCTCAGTTGAGAAGACAGTGGCTGTGACACAAAATTATTTTAACCTTTTCTCTTTCTAGCTGAATAACTCAAAGGGATTTTCAGTGATGTGCAAATTTTTGGGATAACAGCTGTAACATTACTCTATTTATTGAACAATTTAGTTCATGACACATTGACCAAAAAACCCCTACAAAAAAAAGTATTCTCAAATTACCATATTAGAAAAAACGCACTCTCTTAAATTTTCAAAAAAATTCAACCTTATCGTTGTGACCAAACACACCATAAGTTCTTACCCGTTAACAATAACACATTTCTAAAAAAACATTTTGATTCGTATTTAATTTTTCGTGTCCACTATTACCTGGATCTACTAAAAACAAAAACAAATAATTTCCATGCCTGAGGATGGCTGAATGTACAGCTGAAAGTATTAGCAGATTAAAAAAAGACCTTATACAACATGAAGTTATTAAAAACAAGGATCATAACATTCATCGAGTGATTCGTAGGTTAATGTAACTTTAAAATTGTTTGCGAAGATGTTTTTCGCCATTTATAGCATTAACTTCACTAATCTACTTTTTGTATGAATGATTCATGTAATAAAAATTGAACTGTACCACATATTTGATATATAAATACACACACACATATATATATATATATATATATATATATAATATATATAAATACATAAATATATATATATATATATATATGTATATATATATAAATACATACATACATACATACATATATATATATATATATATAAAACTGATTTCAACATCAGTATATTTTCTTAATTGAGGACTGAAAATAAATTGAATTTTACTGATTTGCAACAATATAATTGTATTCCACTTAACAACTTCTTTCTCTGTTCACATTTTCTTTTTAAGTACATCTATTTTAATTTTTTGCAGATGCCAAACGACAAATACTTGCCAACCTAGCCAACTTTGGTTATGACCCATTAAACTACGATTATTTTCGACAGCTGAATGTGTTGGATATGTTTCTAGGTAAGTTAAATAAGACATCTTCAGTACTAATTTAGTAAAAAGGAGTGATAAACTGAATAGTCCGGTCACATACTAATTGCAAGGAACTTATAGGTCATGTGATGGTAGCACCAGTTAGGATCCCAGCTATGGGCAAATTGTGAAGTCCAAAACACTATGAAAGTATAAAAATGCGTTATTATAGTAAAAATACCAGCTATACGTTTTTCTATAAAAAAAAAAATTACCAACAATATATATTTATCATAGAATTAACAATACATTTTATACACTATTTACATAATTCAGAATATTGTCCTCATCTTTGTCTCCATATTTATCACAATGTTTCAGCCGTTGTATGCTCTGGACTTCTTCAGGTGGTTGGAATGTCTAACTGAACCCTTTATTTCGCTCACTGGGGTAGACTGTTCTAGGTCTACATGCCATGTCTAATGGATGTCAGTTATCTCCTGTTAATTCCCCTCTCCAAGTTCTCCACTGTCTTAACCAGGTATTGACCTCACACTCTTTGGGTCATGTCACTGGATCTAACTAATGCCTTTATCCACTGTGCCATATGTCCTTGAAGACATCTGTGTATGAAATTCTGGTTAAGGTACATAGATGACACCTTCATACTCTGGTCACACCTGGAAGATGTTCAGGTTCTACTGGACCATATGAATTCAATAAGACCTTTGATACAGTTCACGATGGAGAAAAACACACTACTATTCCTGGATGTTCTAATATCTCAAACAGAGCATGGGTTCAAGATATCTGTATATCATAAACCAACATTCACCAGACAGTACCTCAATTTCAACCCCCACCATCCATACAGTGTAAAGAAAGGGATCATCCGCTGTTTACAACACCGAGCAAAAGTCATAAGTGGTGACCCAGAGACATTAGATAAAGAATTGGTCAGTATAAGTAGTACCCTACAATGCAACAACTACCCTGGGTACATGGCAGCAGCCCCCAAAAACTGGGATAGGCAGGTACAAGAGGAGAACAACAAAACTCAGAAAACAGTCTGCCTGCCTTATGTGAAAGGGTTATCAGAAAAGATACAAAGGATCTGCAGTCTATATAACATCAGGACAACCATTCAAAAGCTGGACGATGCTTCACAGATATCTTTCCCGAGTAAGACCCCCCCACACCATAGAGAAGAACATGACTAAAGACTGTATGTACGCTATCCCGTGCAGCTGCGGAAAGAAATATAAAGGGGAGACAGGCTGCCCACTTAAGGTATGGCTTCAAGAACACCAGAAAGCTGTAACACTAGGGGAAGTGGAAAAATCAGTCATGGATGACCACATATGGAGAGAAAAGGGTGATCACTATCTATGTGGGATCAGGTTGAGATCATAGACAAAGAACATCATTGGAAAATTTGTAAACTTAAGGAATCAGCACATATGCTAGGCCTCAAAAATCTCCTGAGCTGGCCAAGTATAGAAATGAATACAATATGGGAACCAGTAATAAGTAGTGCTAGAGAAAAGCGATAACAACCAAAACGGCAATATGAGCTCTGGTAAAAATATGTATGATAACAGCAGAAATTGCAATATGAGCACTGATAAAAATGATTGTTAAAGACATTAGGTTTATAATACCCAGAAATTCATGCACATGGCACAATGGATAAAGGCATTAGTTAGATCCAGTGACAGGACCCAAAGAGTGTGAGTTCAATACCTCGTTGAGGCGGTGGAGAACTTGGAGAGGGGAATTAACAGGAGATAACTGAACATCCATTAGGCATGGCATGTGAAACTATAATAATCTACCCCAGTGAGCGAAATAAAGGGTTCAGTTTTGACATTCCAACTACCTGAAGAAGGCCAGAGTGTACAACGGCTGAAACGTTGTGATAAATATGGCAACAAAGATGAGGAAAGTAGTTCGAATAATGTAAATGGTGTACATAATACCTCATCCCAGAAATATAGTCAGATAATACATTTTATAGAAAAATAACCAATACATTTTATCTGTAGTTGAAGCCATAAAACTGTTCAAAGTAATTAGTTTTCATCTGAATAAATTTTATTCACTTTTTATTGAAATAGTTTTAGGTTTAAAATTCTAATCACATCGGTTTTGGTTGCATATAAATTCATTAAATGTATTGTTTAATTTTAAGTCACCTTTAGGTTTGTATATCAGCCAGTTATGTGCTGTGCATGATACACGCTCAGGTGATCATGTATCTTCTTTCAATACATGACTGATGAGGCAAATTTTTTTCCCGCAGTAGGTTGCCATTTCTTTCTGACCAGTTGCCATTAGTTTGTGACCCTGGGTTTCATGCTTTTCCAATCATCAGAGTTTGTCTAATGATCACGAAAGTGTGAAACCCAGGGTCACAAACTCATATCCATACAACTGAATATGTTAGCTCTATCACTGATATTGAGCACTTTCCACTAAGTACCGTGCATATCAAATATATATATATATATATATATACACATACATCCTCTGTTTCATATATATAGATACTGAATTTTATGGTGGGCATTGATGTGTTAAAAAGTTTCTTTGAAAAGTTTACAGATGAGTCCATGTCAGCTTGCTTTTTTTCTGTTTTTCTTTTTTTTAGATGCCTTGGAAGAAGAAGATGAAAAATTAGTGGAGTTTGGGATGGGAGGTTTGTGCAATGTTTGTTTAGGTAAGGGATTTGATATATTTTTTAATTTCCTATTTGTCTTTAAAAGTTATTTGTTGAGAAAACTGTAATGTTCATATTATATATATATATATATATAATACATAAAAGGTTAATGGTCAGAGTTGAAACAGACCAGGAAACAGTAGTATTAAAAAGTGCTCAATACAAATCTTTGCTTACATATCAGAAAATATTTCTTAAGTGCATATGAGGCTGGATAAAAAAAAGTAATTTAACCCCCCCACCAATACATTTACAATACACTTGCTTTTCTTTTCTTCTCGCTTCTTCTTCTTCCTTCTTCACATCCTCCTCCTCCCTTTCCATTACACCCAACATCATGCATTTGTTTATTTATTTTGGAAAATAATAATATAGCGTTCTTTATTTTTTTTTTTTTTAAATAAAAAAGCGATAGGTGGTCATTTGATAAAAATCACCTGAGGATATCCTAAAGTTGAAACCAATGTAACGGATTCAACTGACCTCCTGATTTTTAAAGTTTTTTATATATATATATATATATATATATATATATATTGGAGGTCCTACATGATGGACGAGTTGGTCCAAGGCACATCAAATGTAATGATGGTTTCACCTTGGGGATGCAGGTTCAAATCCTGCTGGAGGACACATATTTTTCTAAGAAGATTCTCAAAATATTCAGGCTGCTAGATCTAACTAAATGATTATACTGTTTAATAAATAAATAAAAAAAACAGAGAAAATATGAGTATCCATTTTGAAAATAATGCTTAAAAATCTGTCAGATTTAATCCATTTCTTAAAAAAATTGTCTTTGTTTGCTTTAAGATACAAAACAGAGCAGGCATGTATGTTTTCAGAATTGGGAAGTATGCCTTCAAAAGCACTATTCGGGCTTTGTTTGATCAGGAGGTCCTACATGGCCAAGTTGGTCTAAGGTATGTCAGATCTAATGATGGTTTCCCCTAGGAGGTACAGGTTCAAATCCTGTCAGAGGACGCATATTTTTCTAACAAGATTTCTCAAAATATTCATGCCGGTAGATGTAAATAAATAAATATACTGTTTAATAAATAAATTAAAACAGAGCATCTATTCAAATATGAGTAACCATTTAAAAAATAATATATATTTAAAATTCAGATATAAATAAAATATATCAGTAAAAAGTCAAAATGAATAATGACAAAGGAGAAATTTTTCTTTACTAATGCATTTTGTCACCTGAGGGACTTTAAAAAAAAAATATATATATATATATATATATATATATATATATAAAACATTAAAATTCCCTTCCTTCCTTTCTTTCTTGTAATGATGGCCTAGGGGTAAGATGTCTGACTGATGTCAAATCAGCCAGGTTTAGATCCTGGCTTGAAGCAATCAGATGTCTAGCCACACTGAGGAGCTGTAATACAGCAACATATTCTGTCTGTAGATTATTATATATATATATATATATATATATATATATAGAGAGAGAGAGAGAGAGAGAGAGAGAATGATGAAAGACAAAAACAAACAAAATGAAGAATTGAGTAAAAGATATATTGCCAAGAGGGTGAGAAGGGTGTTGTCCTGAGAAGGACAGTTTTGGGATCACTGAAAGGTGTTGTTCTGAAAGGGATAGTTTATTGCATATCGTTGCTACTGGCAAGGATGGCTGGCTGGGTGGAGCTGGAGGCCTGTTGGAGATGGCAAGCTGGGGCTACATGTGGGCCGTCTGTCCGCTGCTAGAACAGATACTACACTTTGATCCTAGTCATCAGGGCCACATAATGGTTATTTACCCCAGCCTTCTCACTGAGACGAGCTATGACACAAGATTGGCTTTAATGTTGGTAACCCGAGCACATACACCCAGACCAAGTACAAAACTTGCCTATAATAAGTGTAAGCGTATCACTGTTCACTGATAGAATGAAACACCATATAGAGTCGGTCCCTTAAAGACATTAAGGGGGAGTAACTCACCTCCTCCACGTAATATGAGATACGGCATCGTACCAGTCGGGATTAACTATGCAATTACTTGATTAGATTATATGTGCTCAAACCGCAGAGGTAGTAAAACTACAAAATGGATTGAGCTGGGACTTGATATTCATTTTTATTATGTCAAAGTGCCCAATTATTACAGAAAACATAGAAATATATATCTAAGAAATAAATGCATTTATAACAATATCAGAGTTACTCCCCTTTTTCATACGCTGGGCATTATTTGAGGTACAATAGTGATGTTAAAAATAATGCAGATTTAACACAGAAGTTTATTTATTTTCACTATCAGTTGTGAAGACAATTTAAAATCTTTTCAACCACCAATTGTTAAAACACAAATTAAAATCATTTATTCATGATCAGTTATTAAAAGAAATATAGAAGTCTCTGAATATTTTAAGCACTTCAAACATAACAGGCTCTGAAAATCCAAAACTTTCCCTTGGGCATGGTTCTCTTGCCAGTACACTTCAGGTGCACCCACTGAAGACAACAGTCACAGACTATAGAATCCATGTTGTTCAAGTCCTGCCTACATGGCTCACACAGCCACTGCACTGATGATCTCAGGGCGCCATAAACATGACAGTGAAAAACTTCTGTGTGTTATTATTTTTAACATTACCTGCCTTCATAATAATAAAAATATTTACCAGTAAAATAGTCTGGGGGGTCTATTTTACCAGGACTAGTAAAATAAGCTTTAATGCATGTCTATTTTACCATGACCGGTAAAATAGCCTATGCATACAATAAAAGGAGATATGCTGTATACTGTGGGTAAACACTGACATGCAAAACTTTTGGGCGAATTAATTACTTTTGTTAATTTTACCCCCAAATTGATTAGCAGTATGCTTTTCTTAGTACATTTTATGATCTTTGAGAATAAGAAAATGCCTTATTCTTCATGAACCTTTGTTTTCTAATAAAATGTTCTCTGTGATGAAAACCACCTTAACTTCTTGTATATAGCATAACAATTACCAATAATAAGTAATATATTAATAATTATTTAATAATTAAAATTAAATGAATAAAAGGAGAAAGGATATGATGATAAACTACATCTGACTGCAAAGCCTTTAAATGGGAGGGTTTTGAGGAGCGTGAAACCACCTCTTAAATGCGGTTGCTCCCTGGTCCCCTCTGACCTGGGGTAGTATCTGTTAGGATCCCAGCTATGGGTAAATAGTTAACCCCCAAACTGGGGTCAAAACACTATGAAAGTATGAAAATGGACTTTTATAATAAAAATACCAGCAATACATTTTTGGAAAAAACATATTACCAGCAATACATTTGATTTTCAACAAAAACCCTCTTTACATCAATGAAACCTGATCTACAAACTGATTTCTTACAAAGAATACATATTCTATACATACAAACCAATCCTAAAAATCTTTGACTCATTGAGGTTGATATACCTTAAAACAAAGTAAACAAAACCCAACTAAAAGAGGAAAAGATTGAATTCTAACTAGGATGAATGTTTCCTTAAAATATTAAAAAAGTATTTAAAAAGTATTTTTTAAGTTTGTATATATGATTTTCTTTTTTCATTAGCCACTGGTATAACTACTCGTATGTAGAATTTTAAAAATTTACATGAAGTGGATGTTCAGTTAATTATGCAAATAACTGATTGGATGTTTAATAGATCTTTGTATTTATAAATCAATAAATAAGCATGTTAATTTTTATTATGGTCGTAATAATGGCCACCAATCCCATATCTTTGAGAAGTCTTGGGTATGATGATAAACTACATCCAACTACTAGATCAGGAGATTGGAGGCTTTGAAGAGCGTGGAACCACCTCTTAATTGTGGTTGTTTGCAGTTCCACTCTGATTTGGGGTGGTAGCACCTGTTAGGGTCCCAACTGTGGGCAAACTGAGGTCAAAACACTATGATAGTATAAAAATAGATTTTTATAGTAAAAATACCAGTAATACATTTTTGTGAAAAAAAAATATTTCCACCAATAGATTTGACTTGATCTAGCAGTTTGAAGTTTATAGTTTATCATCATAACCCAGGACTTCTCAAAGATATGAGATTGGTGGGATTTTATTATTATTTTAATAAATGCATTTATTTCTTAGATATATATTTCTGTGTTTTCTGTAATAATTGGGCACATATAATCTAATAATTCAACGTTCAGACTAATGACAAGAGGACTTTCAATTCAATTAAAAATAAAATTAATAGCACTTTAGTACAGTACAAGACTGCATATGTGTGGCCGCCCAGTGAGATACAAACATATCAATTATAAAGAAATGTCAGTGAGATTAGATTGTTGCTATGCAGTAAGAAAATCCATTGGCCTGCTCAATAAGACAATGGTTTGTTTTATGTGTCTTGTAAATTCTGGTTTAAGCAACAATAACCATCTATTTAAAGTTTAAAGAAAATTGTCTTCTGAAAATAGATTTGGTTTGGTCTATGGAATATCAACAATAGGTTATTTAATGCTGACAAGATTTTTTGGATAGGTTTGTATCAATAGAATATGTATTTTTTGTAAAAAAAAATCAGTTTGTAGGCGATCAGGTTTCATTGACGTATTTAAAAATAGATAGATCCTGAAGAAGACTGGATTAAAACTTTGGGACTACTTAAAGATTGGTCTACTCCTAAAAAATAGGGAAATTTGTTTTTGAAAATAATTTTTGTACATTAGCATTTTTGTTTTTAGAACTTTATCATAATAATTACATTTTAGGTTGTGACACTTGTCAGAATCAAAAAATGATTTATTTTTCCATTTTAGATGTGGGATAGATTTAGTTTGATACAGTGTGTTATATAGGAATAAAGTGTCGCTGCTGACACTGGAGTTTGAACACAGATCACCAGAGAGCAAATACAGGTGATCCCATTTAAAATAAGTAGATCACATGATGGTAAAGAAAATGTATATATGGGAATTAGCATGGCATCTAAGTGATCACTATATGGATTACTATTCGGTGGTTACTTTTCAAGTGAGTATTATCGAGCAAGTAGTATTAGTATGAGTGTTATTCAAAGGCATCTGACACCAGTATTGTTCAACGGCATTACTATAGTTGTATCTGCAATTACAAAGTCTCTACTACAACAAACATTACAAAAGTGACAATGAGTATTGGTTGACATTACAAAAGTGGCAATGAGTGTTCGTTGACATCACAAAACAGTGTAAAATCAACCTATGACTTTTTTATTTAACAGAGATATCAGAAAATAGCAGTTTGTTTATAAATGTCAAGTCTGGAACTGTGTTTACGTCTATCTACATTTCTGAGATGAGGTATTGTAACTTTAACACTATTTACATTTACATTGTTCAGACTGTTGTCCTCATCTTTGTTGCTATATTCACAACGTTTCAGCCATGGTACACTCCAGCCTTCTTCAGGATCTATCTATATTTCTGAGATGAGGTATTGTAACTTTTACACACTATTTACATTTACATCGTTCAAACTGTTGTCCTCATCTTTATTGGTATATTCATGATGTTTCAGCTGTTGTATGCCCTTGCCTTCTTCAGGTGATTGAAATTTTGAACTAATTTCCAGTCACTTGAACAAGTTTTTACTAATGTTTACCCAATACAAAGCCCAAGAGCCACTCAAGGTAGAGGATTATGTGTGGAGTTGTATTAGCATAAGAAAGAATAAGCATTAGGAGTACAGAGTTGAAATAGACTTTACAAGGAACTGGAAACCCAATCTTAAACAGGAAACAAGGGATAAACCTCTACTCCTGTTCAAAAGACTGGGGAAGGAGTGTGAACCGGACGATGGATGAACTTTCCTACTCCTTACTTACAGGAATATGTCATAAGGTTGTCCCGAGCCTTGAAAAAACAGGGTGCACAGGTTTCCTGAGCAGAAGGAAATGCATGTTTGCATTTGTGCATGATGGAAGAGGTATGGTCACAAGAAGTTGCATAGGTGACATACGAGAAGAATGCATAGCCACGTGAAGTTGCATGGGTGTCCAAATGTTATAAAACTGGTCCAATTCTTGGCCTGACAGAGAGGCTGGCTAGGATTTCACCAAAGATTTGTCTCTGTCATTTCTTGGGTGTGCAATCCTAACCTCTGTTATTCTCCCTCACTCTACCCAATCACCGCAATTCAAACAAAGTTATTTATATATTTTTCATATATAAGTGTTTGTTGCCTTATTTGAGTCCAGCAGCAATATACAACACTTGCTTTTGCTTATATTACCACCAGTTTTGTTTCTTCACCATGTATTAAATGTTCTTATACTGTTAGAATAAACACGCAGATATGTTTATTCATTCTTTTTTTATTTTTAATTCTCAGATAAACAGAATAAAGAATATATAGTGAAAAATGACGGTATTGATCTTGTTCAGAAATGCTTATCACGGTAAGTGAATTTTTGTTTGTTATAACAACTAAGACAAGCAGGCTGGTCCAAATAATAAGTCAGTTATATTGGATTGGAACAAAAAATTGTAATGCTTTATCAATCAAGGTATTTAAAAACACAACTTCATTTCATGCATAACTGAAATTTATGAAATATATACATATTCTCAAAGGTAACATTTCAACAGGTCTTTCTGTTTGGTTTGGTTTGTTTTATGGCATATCAACCTCAATGGGTTATTTAATGCCAACAAGATTTTTTATTGCTGGTAATATTTTTTCTTCAAAAACAAATTGCTGGTTTGGTTTAGTTTGTTCTGTTTTGTTTTATGGCATATCAACCTCAATGGGTTATTTAATGCCAATTAGATTTTTATTGATGGTAATATTTCTTTTCAAAAATGTATTACTGGTAATGTTTTTTTCTTCAAAAATATACTGCTGATATTAAAACCTATCTTTACACTTTCATAGTGTTTTGACCCCGGTTTGGGGGTTAACTATTTGCCTATAGTTAGGACCCTAACAGGTACTACCAGACAGGTTAGGGTGGACCTGGGAACACCAGCAATTAAGAGGTGGTTCCATGCTTCTCAAAACCTCCTGATCAGAGACCTTGCTGTTGGACATAGTTTATTGTCTTACCCTGGACACAGATGTAGTTTATCATCATAGCCAGGATTGATGGGTCTTTCTATACAATTTCTGTGTGGATTGTGAATTTCAAATGTTTTTAAGTTAAAAGTGAAAAGGCAGAAAAATGAGATTCATTTTTGTCATTTGACACATTTTTATTTCTGGAAAGGGAAAAAAACGCTGTACAAATGGCAAAAAAGATGTGTGCCATTTATGAGGATAGTGTCGTAGCTGAGAGTACTGACTGTAAGTGGTTCACTAGGTTCAGAATGGCAAATTTTGATCTGGAAGAATGAGAATGTTTCAGCAGGCCTGCAATTTTAATCATAACGCTGATTAAAAATAATTTTGGTTACAGGGCGTGAAACACTGCAGAGATACTCCACATGCCGTACATTGGAAAACATTTGGGTCCATGAATCACTATAATATTTGCATGCCTCACAATTTAGTGAGAAATGATTTAATAGACTGCATTTCCATCCATGATTCTCTGCACAAATACAACAAAAACAGCCCCCCTTTTGGAAAAAAAGGGTCACAATGATAAATGGATTATCTACAGTAATGTGGAGTAAAAAAAGTCATGTGGAAAAATTAATCACTTGACACATGTTAACAGCTAGAGGTTGATAACAAAATCTGACTACAAATGCCAGTTTGAGCAACAAAAAAAAGTATGAGTTGATTCATAGCTTCAACTAAAGTCTTAACATTGTTTTCATAGTAAAAGTATCATTATTTGGTTGCCATTATGAAATCTGGCAAACATAGACCTTTATGCCTGCAAAAACAAACACGGTGTCAAAAGGATGTTTTTTTTCCCATGATACCACTTTTATTTTAACTATCTTCACTCTTTAGAGTGAAGGTAGTTAAAAAAAATGTAGTTGAAAAAGGCAGGTGAAAGGTAGTTAAAAACTTAGGATTAGAATTGTAATAAAACTTAAAAATTTGATGAAAATGGCCAGCACACATATGGAAAAAAAAGATTACAATTACATTTTTTTTTAAATATTTTCAGACTTTAAATTACCTGCAAATAGTTGATAAGCCAGAAAAAAAACATTAAAAAATTAGTCACTCTTATTAAGGCAATGCTCGTTGTCAGAAGAGAGCTATAATTTTCTTTACATAGGAGTTCTCATTCTTGAGGCCAGTTGTCATTAATTTCACTGTTTGAAAAAGAAAACAGAGATGTTTACTCAAACATGTGTACCCACCAAGTATTATAACATTAATAATAACAAAAGTGCATATAATGTAAATGCATAACTAATAACTTTACTATAGGAGTTTATTGTAAAAAATTTTACAAGAGAATTGCATTGAAATTGAATAAACTGTTTTTCTGTGGACAGAAATTAAGGTAAATGTTTTTGAAAATAAAATTATTTTATGTGAGATGTAAATGCATTGTTAATGATTTTTACTATAAAAGACTCTGAAAAGATTTTTCTGTAGAAGGTAATGTAAATGGTTTTGCTATAGAAATGCAGTGTAACTGACTTTACTATAGAAATGCAATGTAACTGATTTTATTATAGAAATACAATGTAATTGATTTTACTATAGCAATGCATAGAGAATAAGAAAGAAATAGATTTTCAGTAGTCAGGAATTAAAGTAAATGTTGTTAATTCTATTGTTTTTCCTTTTTCTTTAAGCTCAAATGTTGAGACCAAAGTATCGGCTCTCACAACTCTCATGTTTCTTATTTGCCCAGAATCAAAGAAAGGTGAGTTTCCATTGAACAAATTAATTGTAGTTTGAATTACAGACTAATTATGTAGTCTTTTTTTCTTTTTGTCTGGTCAGTTCTCTAGCCATCATCAGTTGCTGTTTTATTCTAGTAGTCCAAATCTTTATGGCAACATTTAGTTTTGAAATTTTGTCATATTTATTTATAATTTGAAAAGAATCATTATGGACATAAATATATAATAAGCTTACAAATAGACACAAATGTAGAAGACATTATTATTATTATTAATTTTTTAATCATTTCACCCGAAGCAACACAATAAAAACCAGTAGTATGCAAGGGGTTAGTGAGAATGAAAGAGACAGAGGGGACAATAAAAGATGAGGATTCAAGGTGACAGAAGATGACAGTTGACACTGGATTTAAATTTTTTGAAGATCAAAGTTAGCAGGAAGCCAGAAGAGAGTTCCACAAGCAAAAAATGTGAATGAAGGAACTATTAGAATAGAACTTATGGTTACAACTAACAATTTCAACAATGTAATTATGAGACATAACTGCCAATTTAGTACTGCACTTAAATTCATGAAGTTGAGTTATCAAAGAGAAAAGTTCATTAGAATAATAAAATATATATAGTAAAACGCACGCGGAAGCTACGTTATAGTGGTGGGAAAGTGACTGAAGCTGAGATGCTAGGTCAGGACCAATAATGTTGCAGATTCTCCTTTGGACTTTGTCAAGCATCTCTAGGTTAATCTCATTGATATTGCATGAGTGAGTAAACAAGTTTGCTAATACTGGTACTACAATAGTATTGCTAATACTAATAGTATTGCTAATACTTGTACTACAATGGGCACTCAAATGTCAAGGATATGAACAAGTACATTGTGTTCAAAACAAAGAAAATATTTAGGAATAATACAATATTTACATGCAGACTATTGTGCTCATCTTTGTTGTTGTTATCACAACATTTTGGCCATTGTGCTCTCCTGCTTTCAACAGAGAATTCCCAACTGCACCCAACATTTAATCCACGAGTATAGAAATGTTCTTGTTCTACTGCTCAGCTATTGCTCACCCTGTTTCACTGAGTCCAAGTACACATTGCCTATTCCAGAGATTAAACTCACAATTACCATTTTACCAAATTTGACTGAAGCTTTGTTTGATGTCTAAATTAACCCTTTAAAACTTTTTCAAAGCAAATTCAAGTTATTGAGGTTAATATGATTTACATAATAACTTTACACTGATTATAGTCACAAACCAATACTTTAATCCACTAAGCCAGTGGTTCTCAACCTTTTTTTACCCATGGACCCCTTTCCCCTTCTTTTTATCTTGGTGGACCCCTTCATAGCTATTGGACATAAGAACAATTTTCTATTCTTCACTAATATAAATTTTAAGGTTTTAATTATCAAAGAAATAGTATACGATTAAGCTTTATTTTTAAATGAAAACTAATTTAATACAAATAAAATATTCTACTATAATTATAATAATAATTATTATTACTATTTTTAATTAACACAACAATTGAGTTTTGCCTGTGGACCCCCGGAAATATTACATGGACCCCGAGGGTCCATGTAGACCCTGGTTGAGAACCACTGCACTAAGCTATTGTCTTGTAGAAAAATCCTGAGTGGAGAACTTGGAGTCTTAAACCTAGCCTTCCTGTTTATGAGTACTGCTACTTGTCATGCTTGACCGCACTCACTGGAGCTTCCACTATACAGAACTGAAGATATTATTAAACATGTGCTTTTGTTTAACTTCAAATGATCATAACTTGACAAATACTTGGAACTGGGACAGAGTCAGACCAGTTCTGAAATCCTACAGTCTTAATTTATATTGTAACTCATTTCACCCCAAGCAAGGTGATAATACCACAGGGTGTGAAAGGGCATTAGGGAAGAGGAAGAACAATAAAAGAACTGTATCCAGGAAGACAGATGATGGTGATTGAGATTGGATTTAAATTTTTGAAGATTGTAGGTGGTAGAGAAGCAAGAAACCATAAAAGAGTTCCACAGTAAAGAAGAAAAGAAACCATTAGAATAGAACTTATGGTTGCATCTAGATACTTCAACAGCAAAACAGTGAGACCTAGCTGCCAATCTAGTAGCATGCATAAATTCATGCAGTCATGACACTAAGGGAGAAAGCTCATCAGAACAATTGCGATGAAAATATATGTAGAAATGACATAGGGAAGGCATGTGATGTCGGTGAGAAAGTGACTGAAGTCAAGATGCCAGGTCAGGATTAATTACATTGCAGATCCTTCTTTGAATTTTATCAAGAATCTTGAGATATATAGCAGGATCAGCAGACCAGATATAGAAGCCATATTCAATGCATGGATAAATGGTAGATTTATAAATGTACAAGAAGGATTCTGATGAGAAGAATTGTTTGGCATGACACAGTGAATTCACTTTTCTAGCAGTGGACCTAGCATTTGATTCAATATAATCATTTCAGTTGAAAATGTGATCCCAAGAAGGTGCAAAGGTTAGCATCAGCCATCCTCTTTTAATGTTGATATTTTCTTTTCATTGTTTTGTAACAAAGACACAAAACCTGGACCATTATTGGGATGACAATGAACACTAACTGCAATTTATCATCATCAGTATTATTATTATGAAAGAATTGCAAATTAGATTAAGAATTGCTTTATTCTTTAAACTCAAGCATTTTAGTAACATTGTTCAAAAAGTGTCAACCTCATATTTGTGGTTTCTGCTGTTTTACAATAATAAACAAAAAATTCACGCTCATAAAAAGAAATTGGATCATTACATTATGCAAGCCAATGTTTTTGCAATAAAGTTGGCATTAACTGATCATTATTGGTAAATCTTTCAGGATATATTTATATTGATATGAGTAATAAATTGTATGAGATTCAGATCTGTCCTTATAAAGAATATTGATAATTTGCATTGTATATCCCCCCCCCCCACAAAAGTCAAGATAAAAGGATACACTTCCTTTTAAGAACAATGATATTTTATGCTCTTGATTACAATTGAATCATCTTCAATGACTTGATAACCATACTACTCTTCATCATGAGAGACTTTTTAATTTTTTTTTCTAAATTTAAATTCTATTTCTTCTCATATTGTAGTCATGGTCAGGGCCAATTTTGGCTGCTTAAAAATACCATCTGAAGTTGGTTTCCCTACCCTTCTTGTTCTGTTAAGTTTAAACATTTTGCCGTGTATAAGGATTCCTCTACATCTAATTTGCACCAAATACCTGATTTAGATTAGCTTGGTTTTATTATAATTCAGTCTATGCGTAAACATTGGTCAGGTTTATATGTGAGTTGATAGGTAAATATTTATTGGGTTTATATTTGAATCTATAAGTAAACATTGATTAGTTTTATACTTGATTCTATATGTAAACATTGGTCAGGTTTATACTTGAGTCTATAAGTCCAACTTTGGTAGGATTTATACTTGAGTCTTTATGTAAACATTGGTTGGGTTTATGTTTGAGTCTATAGGTAAACATTGGTCAGTTTGATACTTGAGTCTATAGGTCCAACTTTGGTTGGATTTATACTTGAGTCTATAGACAAAGATTGATCATCAATACCCAAGTCCCCAAGCATTCCCCTGATAGATAAACTAATGTCTGATAATGTAGATTGTTTTCATTCCAGTGTCATGTCTAGGGACATCTCACTCTGTTCTTTTTAGTTCTGCTCATTTATTGATAGTTCTATTTCAACTGCGTTTGAGTATGCACCACCCGACATATGGATTGAACTCACAACTATTTTGCCACCAAATTCACAGTCTATGCCCATAGATTAAATAAAGGGTTCAGTTTGAAATTCCCTGAATGTTACTCAGATCAACAAGCATCTGAAGAAGGCACAATGGCTGAAATGTTGTGATTATAACAACATAGATGAGTACAGCTGTAAATAATGATAAGTCTTCATCTCAGAAATTATTTCTTGTGTTATTTTTATTTCATTTACAGATATTCTGACTTCAGATTTTGCTAAGGAAATGTTAGAATTGGCAGAAAGTTCAAATCTGAGGTTGAGTAATCTGGCTAATATATTCTTGAAGGTAAGTTTCACTCTCATCTGTCTATGTGCATACATATATATATATGTATGTTACTAATAAAAATGTTATATATATGAAGAAATATAGTCTTAAGGTGTGCTATACTTATGGGATAAAGTGCTCAATATCAGAGATAGAGCGTGTGTAAATATAAAAGTGAACATTGAAGTCAACACTTAGAGGCTACAGTCTGTTTCATGCTAGACGCAATCATCAGGCCTGATTTTCACCTTTAAGTGTTAACTTCAATGTTCTCTTATATATATATATATATATATATATATACACACACACACACACTATCTCACACCCCAAGGTGTGAGAAATTATGTATATATATATATATATATATATATATATATATATATATATATACATATACATCCACACACATGTGGGTATCTGTGGAGCACGAATATATATACTCATATTGGCAAAAACAAATAGACTACTCACAAGCACACACACAAACCCTACACAACATAGGAAGTGTGTGTGTGTGTATGTATATATATATATATATATATATGTTTGTGTGTGTGTTTATGCATGTATATATATATATATGTGTGTATGTATGTGTATACTAATTCATTATAATAAGACTGTATGGAGAGTGAATATACATATACATGCACATACTAACAAAAACACACAAAATACAAAAAATTGGAAATAGATCTAAGAACACACAGGAGTCAATCTTAATTGTTTTTTCCTTGAAGCAGAAGAACTTTCTCACTGGTAGTTCAAGAAAGACATTTGTGTCACTACCACACAAAAAAGAGAATGTTTAACACCAAAAAACATAAGCTTAATTAATTCATTTTAATAATATGTGGAAATATCCACTCTCTGCCTGAAGACTGTCATGAGATCCAAAACCCGAGTTGCAAAATTATGGAAATAAAGCATAATATATGTTTTTTTTTAAAAATCCACATTACATAGCAGTAATATGTTGATGCCTTAAATAAAAGTAAGCATAATATCAAACTAGAGTACGTCCAAACACTAGCGCAAATACCAATAGTAAATGTATGAATAGAAAATGCAATATAATTTGGTTCAACCCACCTTTCAATAGTAACATCAGGACCAACATCGGCAGAATCTTCCTTAAATTAGTACACAAACACTTTAACCATAACCCTTTTCTCAAAAAAATCTTCAACAAGAACAACATTAAGGTTAATTACAGCTCTACTAGAAACCTTGACCAATATATAGCCCATCTTAATAGTATAACCCTAAATAAATATTTAAGCAAATTACAACGGTAGCTATGATAATCAAAAATGCAATTGCCGAAAAGAGAACATTTGTCCTATGAATGGCAAATGTATGTATAAAGGAGTTATTCATACGGCCAGCATCAAGCATAATGACCAAATTAAATTTTATTTCAGGTCAACTGCTAATAATTGGAAAAAAGTTTTTATCGTCATAATATGACCCTTAACAACAACAAAAAAATGCAAATGCTACAGCACTCTCTAAGTTTTATTGGGATATCAAAACAAATAGCTACACGCCGTGAATTGGTTGCTAAAATCAATCCATTCGCAGGCAGGGGGACAGGTGCAATCTATGTTTACACAAAAAATTATTTATCATAAAAAATATTAATAATTCAAATCTACTCAATAAATGGAACAAGCTTATGTCTAGTTGTATGCATAGAAAAATATTTCTCTTAAAACATTGTAATCCTGGATAAGCCACTTTTTGTCTAAATTTAATTTAAAATTTTTATTTTACGCTCTGCTTCATTTCAGGTCATGCACTGATTACTTCTCTTTAACTAGTCAAACAATTTTTACGAACAACATCCATTGTTTAAATTTTAAGCATACTTCAATTTCCTTTTTTTTTATTATTGACTCATACCTACACCTCATTCCCTGCACTTAAACTCCAATATTGCGTTAGTACTATTTTTGTACTATTTTAAATTTGAACTATAAATCAGTGCCCATTCCATGAACATCTGTATACTTTTTTTAAATAAAAAATAAGTTATATCTTGTGCCCGAGTTGGGTAACCAACAAAACTTAAATCACACACCAGACGTAGCTATATATATGTTTATATATATATATATATATATATATAATAACTAAAAAAATGTATATAAAAAAGGTATATTGTCATTTTAGTTTGGTTTGGTACTCTTGTTGATTTTAGCATAGCCTGATATTTTCCAAAGTCATCCCTTCCAGAATTTATTTAATCTTTTACTGCAACTTATTGGCTAATCTTGCAAGATAACTTTTTGACCAAGTCACTTGAGTTTTTTCCGTCTATTTGAATGTCAAATTGTGGTTGTGCTTTGTTTTTGTTGTCATTCAAGCAGTCAAAGTCTGTTTCTTTTATGTAGTGGGAAAAGCAGTTTAAAAATATTTGGAACTCATTTGTTCACTGTTTGTCAAGGTTATATAATCCGTAGATGATAGATTGGAACTACTTAAATAAAGTGGTCTACTCAAGAAATCTGGAAAAATTTTTCAGGGAATAATTTTGTAGATTCACATTCCTCTCTCAAAGTGCGACATTTATCAGAATCAAAATATACTGATTTTTCAGCAAACTTTCATGCCAACCAAAAAACAGTGTGTCTAAAGGATAGTTTTTCCATTGACACCGCTATTATTTTAACTACCTTTACTCATTTTTTTTAAGCTTTTCACCCCAAGCAAGGCAGGAGTGCCACTAGCAAGGGCTTACAGAGAGTGGGAGCAAGAGTAAAGAGGTGTGATATAGGAAAGGATGAAGAATACATCAAGGCATCTGGAGATGTCGATTGACATTGCATTTAAATAGTTGGAGGTTATAGCTATCAGGGAAGCAACTAAGAGGAAGGGAGTTCCACAGAAGGGAAGAGTGAGACATGAGGCTATTGGAGTAGAAGAGACGGCTACATTTAGCCATTTCAACAGTGAAAGGGTGGGACTGAGATGTTTTAAAAGGTGATTATTAGAATTGTAATAAAACCTAAACATATGGTGAAAATGAATTTATATATTTTTTTAGTTCTTGAGAAATTACAACAGAAATATTAAACATTATTTGTGTGTGGTATTGGATCTGCAGCCAGAGTTATGCCTCAGCTGCTGATGGTGGTACATCATCTGTTATGGTTGTACAGGCCCACACAGGAGTGATGGTCTCAATTGCAATGAATGAATGTGATGATGTTCTCCCCCAATGTTGCTTTGTTGTTTCCTTTCTGTTGAGCATGCTTCTCCCCAGCAGCAAGTCTTCGTTTCTCCTCTTCTCACTGTAGCCCTTGGTATAAATTGCATTAAACACTAACTATTTTTTATAAAAAATCAAAAAGAAAACAAATCCACAATCATTTTTTTATAGCAGTCCAAGAATCCTCACAGTGTGTACAAGATTTATGTGAATTTTTTTGATGGGCGTCATTTTGAATGTTGACCAAAGTTTATCTAGTTTAATGCTGTCAAAAACTTTGGTGACATCAAAATGGCTGACAGAATAAATATGTATAGAACTGTTTTTTTTTTTTTGATGGGTGTCATTTTAAATATTGACCAAAGTTTATCTAGTTTAATGCTGTCAAAAGCTTTGGTGACATCAAAATGGCTGACAGAATAAATATGTATAGAACTGTTTTTTTGTATTTTTTTGATGGGCGTCATTTTAAATATTGACCAAAGTTTATCTAGTTTAATGCTGTCAAAAGCTTTGGTGACATCAAAATGGCTGACAGAAATACTTACATATATAGCTGTGTTTTTTTTGGGGGGAATTGTTGGGGCAGGACGAGGATTAATGTGACATAGATCAAATGGGTTTTGCTTGACAGAAAGTTTGTCAATGATTTGATGAAAGGGTTTTACATGGCTTGATGCTCTTCCTGACGCCCAACACTAGTCCAAGTACACCGAGTTTTTTTATTAAGACACCATCTGATTGAGTGATTTGTTTTCTATGGTTTATCAACCCTTTGCAGGTTATTTAAAGCCAGAAAATATTTTTACATATAAAAATTTTGGTGGGGAGTTAATAATGGTTTAGTGATACTACTCTTAGTAATTAACTTATAGCTGGAGAGAGAAGAGGTGGAATATAACAAAGCCAACAGGTATTGGAACTCCGCTCTCTGATTAATAATTGTCTGCCATTATCCATTGTACCACCCACACATCCAAGGATTACAGCACCTGATATTCCCAGGCAGTCACTCATCTAGGTAGTGACCAGGCCTGATACTGATATGGCCATAAGCTAAGACATAATCTCTAGTAATGTTGCTATTCACTGCGTGAGACCCCATCCTAGCCCTATAGAATGTAAAAATCTATTCCGTTCTACCACAACCAGGTTGGTAAACTATTTGAGATTTATGAGAAAATGATTAATAATGAACTGAAAACAAATAACTTTAAAAAATGGAAAAATAGTTGCAAACAAAAAGGCCACTTATACTTAACATTACAAATAGGCAGTTGAAATTTCTAGGGTACTTAATGAGGAAAGAATGCTTGGAAAATGTGATACTCACAGGATATCAAAGGGGCAGAGGAAAACAATGCATAACCTGCCTAGTGAACTTAAGTAAATGGATGGAAGAAGAGAGTTTAGGAGAAATAACAAAATGACAAAGTTTCTTAAGAGCTACAAAGGATAGGAAATTGTGGAGAGCCATGATTGCCATCATCCTGAAGGGACACAGCACATAGAAAAAAGAAGTCATTACTCAAATTAAATATTTGATAATACAATTCTACATAAAAGTATCCAACCCTTTTATTATTTTCCTTATTTTTTCCAATTAACCATAAGTTGGGGTCAAATACTTTAAGGGTACAACTATTTGGATGTGTGGGTGGTGTAATGAATAGTTGCTTGGAATAAGAAATCATAGAGCAGTGTTTGAATTCCAATCAGGTTTGTTATATTCACTTGCATACAGATATCCTTGGGAAGGTATGAATCCACCTTTTTTGCAAAGCTATAGGCTAAATTCTATGAATTGTATCTGGAAAAAGTCATTGTTATTCTCAAAAGATTCTTAATGGAACATTCACTCACAAAAACAAAAAGAATTAGTTTTACAATACAAAATATGGTTTTGTTAAGTAATTAAATCATTTCTCTTCTCCAGACTTAATGGATGGTTCCAAGCATCAGCAGAAGGAATGTCTCCCTTCCTTCCAATTTGCATTTGTCCACTGAACTAAATATAAGCTGGTTAAAATTTCTCTTTCTCGTGTGAACCTCTGAGGGGCACTTCAACATGGTGTAATGGTTAGTAAGCTTGTCTTGATAGCTCAGTTACGACTGAAAAGTGAGTTTGATTCTCATTGGGTGCCCCATATTTTCAGCCTTGTGCCACATCTAAGCTATGCTTAGAAAACCATTTTGATTCGATCCCAATTTGCCATTTCAGGCGGTTATGGGTGACTTGTCGAACTCTCTGCCTTCAAGAAGAGAGGAACCTAGACGAGGCTATGTTGAAGGGCAGAATTGTGTCTGGGGAGGTAGACAAGCCCAACCCCATGCATGAGTGGTCTACGAGGAATTTTTGCCCAAGCCTACAGGCTCGGAATTGCTCCACATTAAAAACAGCCTTGTGTCACATCCTGCCTTGTTGGGAGGTAAGGGAAATAACCTCATGCGTATCTCTGAAGCCTGGGGAACTTTGCCATTAGAACTTCTGATGTCAAAAAATTGTATACCACTTCAACTTCTGCAAAGTGTAATTAATTTCTATTGGACTTTGTATTTATTAAGGTTGATAAGTCATAAAAAAACAAATTATTCAATACAACTGTATTTTGATGTTTTATTTAATCTCTATCTATAAAAGGCAGGATGTGTGTGTGTGTAACAAATGCACGGCCACAATTTTCGACGGATTTGCACCAAAATTTACATGCACATGCTACACGTTAGCGGGAAGGCCAAGACTGACATTGCATTTCCCAACTCCCATCGATAGTGGAAATAATCGATTTTTTCATGCTTCTATGGCACTTTTCATGTAGTTTGCGGCCATTTTCTACTGGCCAGAGTGAGAGCCTATAGCTGGCTGCCACGAATAGGCAGGAAGATTCTATTGGCCAGCGTGAGAGCCAACAGCTGACTGACACGAATGTTAACTAGCATGCAAAAAAAAATCAATAGCTGCATTCGTCTCAAGTGGGAAAATTTAAATCTGCATGGCACTTTACTCCAATTGGCTTATTCACTTGCTTAAACTCAACGTTGATTCTGATTCTGCAGAACTGGGTTGGGTGTGAAAAAGTATTTGTTAACATTCTTTTTTCATTCGGTTTTTCCAGTTACGAGTCCTATTTTAAAGCTGATCATTTTGTGTTCATTTTGTTTAGTACTTTTTTCGTAACAGATTTAATGTTTAGTATAGAGCTTAGAAAAAATTTGCAGTGTGAGATAGGCAAGAAGTAAGGCATGTAGCAACATCAGCACGGCAAAGGGCACTCCCTAAAAAGGCAAGAAAGGGCAAAAATATTTTAAGTCAAGGGATAGCGATTGCTGTATGAGTCGTACGATTTTTGAATCGTGCACAGGCAACACCGTGACATGCTGCTAGTGCTTATATATATATATATATATATATATATATATATATATATATATGAAATTCAGGATTGTGTTTGATGAGGACTATTTTTTAACAATGAATATTTTTCTTTTTTCAGGATTACTTTGATGAAAATCATGTTGAAGAAGCCAGAAAATCTCTGCAAACCTTGTAACTTTCTGTTTTTATCATGGAGTATTGTCACAGAATTTGTACCATGAGGTTTTTAAAAACCCCATTGAAAATATGGATATATCATTTAGGGCTTAATTTTCTTGTTATATGTTATGGAAAAGTAATCATTTTTTTTTAATTTATTAACTTTTATTGAACAAAAATAAATTACAGTAGTTTAAAAAAATTTATAAGCATTGTCACATGAAAACAACATGATTTGTTATGATTAACAAACTATTCAACATATTCAAAATGGTCCCCTTCTTGTTCAATACAATGTTGAACCCTATCAGAAACATTTCTACAAACCATTTGACACATTTATGCAAATTTATCAGAAATTGTTTGTTTTAATTCAGGAATTGTTTTCAGGTTAAACCTGTAAGCAAGATCTTTCAGTAAAGCCCACAAGAAAAAGTCTGGTGGTATTAGATCTGGTGTTCATGATGGCCACTCATTTGCTCCACCATGTTGTCCTTACCCTACACGCAAGCTGCTGCTGGCAGGCCACAAATGGCAATGCCAGTAGTCCTCTGGTGTTCGCCACTGGTGGGCCTTTAGTAGTCCACCAATGGTAACATTGTGGAGACAAACACGTTGACAGCCTGACAGTGGGGCACCAGTGGCAAACACTATGCCACACAGTGGCAGATTGGTGGTTTGCATGTAGGGTAGCTTGGGAAAAAAAAGTTACATTTGCTGCACCTGTATTGTCTTAAATAATGTTCTTTCTGGTTTTTATAGGATAAATTAAAAAAATGTTTTATTTCAAAAACCTGAACTAAAAGGCTATTATACATTAAGAAATGGACAAAGTCCGACAATTTATTAAAGACATTTCTATGTTTAACATTCTTTTTATAGATACAAGTATTTTAGTAAATGCTCTGTTTATAATAAACAGTATTAAATAACATTTACTGGCCTGAATGTCCGTGAAATTTTCATAGAAAATATTCGTCCTTTGACAGGATTCGAACCTGCATCCTATACGGAACCCTCATTTAGCTTGATGTGCCTAACCGCTCAGCCACAAAGGATCGTTCGGTTGGCAAGGTTGAATTTACTTAATTTAATTTATTTAATACTGTTTATTATAAACAGAGCATTTACTAAAATACTTGTATCTATAAAAAGAATGTTAAACATAAAAATGTCTTTAATAAAAGGCTATTATTAAAAAATGAATTTGTAAGTTTGTAATATTTGAAGCCATTCACATTGTCCTATTCTTGTTTTAAATGTCCTTATATTGTTTTCAAGAAGCTGTTTGAATGTGATCCTAACAACAAAGATAGGGATATTAATCTGACTGTAAATAATGTTTTGAAGTTTAAAAATTTTATTTAAAAGATTAAAAATCTATTTTCATGTGTGTGTTGTTTTGTTTGTTATTTTTCAATTGAATCATTTTTCATTATGACAATTAGCACAATATTCATAAAAAATTATGGCTTACAGCCATATCACATTGAAACACTTGTTACTGTACAATCACTGAAGTTAAGCAACACTGACCCTGGCCAGTACCAAGATGGGTGACTACTTGGTAATATGTGGTTCTATTAGCTTAGGTGTGCAGGTGGTATAATGGCTTGGAATTGGAAATCAGAGCTGTGTTCGAATTGTAGTTGGAAAGAACAAAGATGACTCAATCTATCATGACTAATAAAACATATCCTCAAATCTTCTTAAAAATGAGATTTTATTAAAAATCTGAAGTGTTCAGGGGACAATTATTTAATCAACCTATATATATATATATATATATATATATATATATATATATATATATATATATATATATTACTATTGTCTCTTTCTACAGAGTACAATGGATAAATTATACAAAAATATCTTGAAATACTAAAGATTAAACCTATACAATAAAATTGCCATTGGCTTCAACCACAGCCTCTATACAACTTCGGAATCTCCTGCATTTCTTCTGGATGGTCTCCTTAAGTTGGTGTATGCTGGCATAATCTTTGCCTTCAGTTCCAACGAGTTTTGTTGGTCTCTCTGTTAACAACACTCCACACATAATTATCGAGGGGGTTACAATCTGGGGAGTTAAGTGGCAAGATGTAAGGGGTGATGTGGTCGCAGAAATTTTCTGACAGCAATGAAGGGATACTGCTGCTTGTGTGGTACGGTGCAGAATCCTGTTGCCAGAAATAGGGCAGCACTATCTCTTCAAGGCACTTTATGTAGGTCTCTGTGTTGTGTCTGAGACCTGTGGAAAGATGAATAGAGGCATAATGTCACCATCACTAGTTAGTGATCACACCAGACACCTTCGTAATCACTATTAGAGTCATCTGTTTCCGAATCCTCATGTTAACACTCAAACACTCTGAAATGTTTGTATTAGAGCTTCTGGTTCAAATGCCAAGCAGTACAGCATGCCATTTCCAAATTTCTGGTGGAGTGAATTGCATCATGGTGCTCTTTTTCTCATAGACGGTGCCCAACTGACCCTACAATACTGTGCAGTTAACGAAATCAAAAATAAACAACACATATGTATGAAATTAAAAATGCAAAATGGTGACAATTTACCCATCGCAAACTGTATTTCTCTCTCATATATATATATATATATAATATATATAACAGAAATCCAAAATTACCTCATAAGTATAGACTATTTTTTCTAACGTTGAATGTGTTAGCCTTATTCAACTCAAATGGTGGACTGTATTAAGTGTTGGAACTAGAGATTTAATATTTAACAAAGACAGCAGTTGACAAATTGATACAGAGCCAATCCATAACATAGCAAATGAGACAGACAGCCCGAGTGGTGTAAAGGGAGGGTGGAAGTCATCTGTCTTAAAAGGAAAGAAGCTACATAAATTCAACCTAGATATTAACCTTAAAACCCTAAATTGGGTTTATAAGAAAAATGAAGTGAAACTAAAGGAAGGCCAAAAAAAAAAAAAAGAAGTTTTTTAAAAGGAGAATTATTATATAATAAAAAAAATTTGTTACCGCTAAAAATTACCAAAATATGCTTACAAATCTCTATCTATAAAAGGCAGGATGTGTGTGTGTATAACGAATGCATGGCTGCAATTTTTGATGGATTTGCACCAAAATTTACATGCACATGCTACAAGTTAGTGGGAAGGCCAAGACCGACTTTGCATTTCCCAACTCCCATCGATAGTGGAAATAATCGATTTTTTCATGCTTCTACGGCAGTTTTCATGTAGTTTGCGGCCATTTTCTACTGGCCAGAGTGAGAGCCAATAGCTGGCTGCCACGAATAGGCAGGAAGATTCTATTGGCCAGCGTGAGAGCCAACAGCTGACTGACACAAATGTTAACTAGCATGCAAAAAAAAAATCGATAGCTGCATTCATCTCAAGTGGGAAAAATTTAAATCTGCATCGCACTTTACTCCAATTGGCTTATTCACTTGCTTAAACTCAACGTTGATTCTGATTCCACAGAACTGGGTTGGGTGTGAAAAAGTATTTGTTGTTAACATTCTTTTTTCATTTACGAGTTTTTCCAGTCATGAGTCCTTTTTTAAAGCTGATCGTTTTGTGTTCATTTTGTTTAGTTCTTTTTTCGTAACAGATTTAATGTTTAGTATAGAGCTTAGAAAAATTTGCAGTGTGAGATAGGCAAGAAGTAAGGCATGTAGCAACATCAGGACGACAAAGGGCACTCCTTTAAAGTCAAGGAAGGGCAAAAATATTTTAAGTCAAGTGATAACGATTGCTGTATGAGTCATACGATTTTTGAATCGAGCACGGGCAACGCCGGGCCATGCTGCTAGTTATAAATATATCCTGAAAGATTTAAAAAAAAAAATAAAAGTCTCTCATGATGAAGAGTAGTATGGTTATCAAGTCATTGAAGATGATACAATTGTAATCAAGAGAATAAAATATCATTGTTCTTAAAAGGAAGTGTATCCTTTTATCTTCAATTTTTTTTGGTGGGTGGAGTGGATATACAATGCAAATTATCAATATTCTTTATAAGGCCAGATCTGAATCTCATACAATTTATTACTCATATCAATATAAATATAATCTGAAATATTTACCAACACTGATCATAATAAAATCTGACATAGTGTAATGATCCAACTTCTTTTTATTTGTGTGAATTTTTTTGTTCATTACTGTAAAACAGCAGAAACCACAGATTGCAGTGAGATGCTTTTTGGACAATGTTACTAAAATGCTTGAATTTAAAGAATAAAGCAATTCTTAATCTAATTTGCAAACTTCTGAAAATAACAATCAATGTTGCATTTAAAGTTTTGAAGATCATAGTTGACAAGAAGCCAGATGTTCTATAGGCAAGAGAAGAAACTATTAGAAACTTATTTATTTACTGAAAATATATAAATTATTAATTCTTTAAATAGGAATTAACATCAACCTCAACATCTGCCTTTCAGCTAGCTGTCCACTACTTCAACCACTGATCTAAACATCTGATTGCAGTTGCAACAGAATTGTTGATTGTGACTGAAATGGATATCACATTCTGAAGGCTGAAAAATTCTTGGCCCTTTGGGGATTATTATTGATTGTCAAGACTTCAATGTCTGTCTGTTCTGAATATTGATTAGCTTGTGACACTTGTTATGAAGTAGTTTGCACCAAATACATGTTGAAATTGCATGAACAGACAGGTGTGAAATCAATTTATAAATTTGGAACTGGGAAAAAATTCACCATTGATCAATCTGAATAAATAATGAGGTTACATTGCAAAATGCAAGAATTTATTTTTTTTATTTATTTATTTTTTACAACCCCCAGTAAAAATTTCTACCCAGGAAGACATAAGACATATCATCAAATCTTAAAAATGAGATTTTATTATAATCTGAAGTGTTCAGGGGACAATTATTCTGCGTTTTATGATTGTTACTCTTTGAAAGTTAAAAGCGCAATGTATCAGTAATATTATCTTGAATGTTTATCAGGAGAATTATTGTAAACCATTATTAATGTTTGACTAGTATTT